TTGTTTCTTTAAACCCTTTTCAGTCAACTATTTACACAAACTCGTTAGTCAGATTGTGCGCTATTTTCCTTTGTCTCTGTTGCCGTCAATGTGACCTGTGAGTGTCAAAATTTCTGAGCCTCCTTTCTTCATTAAGTGCCTCTGGCAAATGAGCACTTGTTGCATCGAAGTCTGATAAGGTTTTGTAAAAAGTATTTTTTACTGTTTTTTTTTTTTTTTTTATGTTTCCAGGTTGCGGCCTACCTAGAATTTGTGCCTCTCGGGGCGGTCGTAGAATTCGCCATCCCTATAAACAACCAACCAAAATTGGACATTATCTATAATATACAGTGATTTACTACGCGTATCCTAGATGTGGCATGAAGTCGCAAGTATCGGGCTCACTATCCATTCGTACTAAAGACAAGCTCGTTAGCCATTATACCACGCTGAAGGACCCAACTATTTCCCCTATATGAACATTAAAACTTGTATTTTATTTTGTTTTGGTTGCAGACAAATAGAAATTAAAATTAAAAATTAATATATATATATATATATATATATATATATATATATATATAAAAAAAAAGAACAGTAAGATATATAATCCGGTGTTCTAATAGATATTTTTTTTTTTACAAATAATTACTCAATGTAAATTTACAGGAGCATAATATTATAAATTAATTGATTTAAAATACGTTTTTCGCTACACAGTTCTAACCATGTTTCAAAATAGAAGCTAAAAAGCCTCGAATTTAATGTTGCAATTAAATTAAAAGCATTAGTTCATTTCATCCTCAAGCGAATTTTGGAGACTCAATCAATTAATTTATAATTATATATATATATATATATATATATATATATATATATATATATATATATATATATATATCATGAATCATTCATACAAAAACAGATTAGTGAAGTTAATGATATAAATGAGAATACATCTTCATAAACAAATTTATTAAAATTACATTAACCCACGAACCTCCAGATGAATGTTATGATCCCTGTTTTTAATAAATTCAACTTGTATAAGGTCTTTTTTTGCTAGTACTTTCATCTGTTCATACAGACATCATTAGGCACGGAAATTGATTTGTTTTTTTTATATATAATACATCTGGGTAATAACGGGACACGAAAAATTAGATGTGAGTCGAAATATGTTTTTTTTTAAAATGTGTTATTGTTTAACGGTAAGAAATTTGGAGCGTGCGGTCGCAACGCTAAGTTGAATTTTTTGAAAATATATATATATGAACATGGAAAAAACATATTTAAAAAAGTGTTTTTACTAAATAGTATTTAGGATAAAATGTTACATTAGCCATATAAGCACTATGAAAAAATCCCTGAACAGGAACTGACTCATAAAGTAACCGTAAAAGTAAGTGTATAGTGTATTACATAACTATGAAGTGAATTTAGGTAAAAATGGTACAATTTGAATCAGAGTCAAAATGGCATATTTAATTTTGCATGCAAATTCATGATAGAAATTCACCTAAATGCCACACCATAAAACTTGTCACCCAGGATGTACCACACCTCCAGCCATCACTGGGTTCTCTTATATTTTCTCGAAAATAAACGTATAACCAACACACCAGTTTTAATACGTACGCTACACACACTTGCAAAATTTAAACTTCAGTGTTTAAGACATCTACAAAAGAATGAAAAAGAAATGATGATATTTAAAATGCTAAAGTATGAAAATACGAGTGTGGGCTGGAAAAAAACTATGCAGTTATTAAGAAGAGTCGAAATTAATGCTTGCAAGATTTCACAACTCGAGCATCACTCCTTCAGAATCAGCCTATGAAGTTTTCAGCCCACCCTCGTACTTTGAAGACTTCTCTGAAAAATCTGATGTCAGTTTTTCTGGAAAGAAACAATAGGGTCAAAATTAATACTTGCAAGTTTTTACAGCTTTAGCGTCACTCCTTCAAAGTCGACAATTGTACTTTGCAGAGGACACTCGTACTTTTGAAGTCTAGGTACTAGTGGATCTCATGAACCCCGAATTGGTTAAGTATCTCACCTCATAGTGTATTCTTTTGAGATAAACAATATGCCTTTCGCTTCATTAGGTCAACTACTGATGTATTAACGATTATTGCAGAATGAGTTTATCAAGCTGTAGATAAGAATGGTGGAGGTCGGACTGTTGCTTTGAATATCTCGAAGGCATTTGACAGGATTTGACATACTCATCGTTTTCACAAGTTGACAGATTATGGTATTTCTGGGCGAATGTTTGAACTGATTCAGTTGTAAAATGAAAGTTGTCTTGAATGGTCACTCTCCCAGAGTGTTTTACATTAATGCAGATGTTACAGCTGATAAAAAAAGAAAAAAAATGACATAAAGTCAGTTGTTAAATAGAGCAAAGAATGGCTTGTTAATTTTAACGCCACCAAAATGAAACTGCTCTCTATTATAAGGGAACCCTTTTAAACTTCTTGGTTGATGCTAACTTCCAGGAGAGTGATCCATTGCTTGTTCTCAGACTAACGTTTTCGGCTGACATGAAGTGGAAAGACTATTTTGAATCAGTTTCTATGTCTGCAGCTAAGTGGTTCGCCGTGTCAACTAGACAACTTTTCTCACCAGAGACTATCTGACATATTTATAAGTCTACCATTTGTCCTTGCTTTGAATATAGCTGCCACGCCTGGGTGAATGTTTGAACTGATTCAGTTGTAAAATGAGAGTTGTCTTGAATGGCCACTCTTCTCGAGCTTTTTGTCTTAATGTTGTTCCCCAGGTCTCTACCCTTGGAGCTACATTGTTCCTAATTTTCATAAATGACCTTCCTGATGTCATCAATTCTCAGATCGGTATCTATACTGATGACACAACTATTTACTCTTGTCTTAATAGTAAGTTTGATCGATAAGGTCAAACTAGCACCTGATCTAAAGAAAAAAAATGACATACAGTCTATTGTTAAATAGTCTCATGATAGCAAATGTGTGAAACCCGGGTTACAAACTACTATCCATGCAACTGAATATATATATATATATATATATATATATATATATATATATATATGTGTGTGTGTGTGTGTGTGTGTGTGTGTGTGTGTGTGTGTGTGTGTGTGTGTGGAATATATATATATATATATATATATATATATATATATATATATACAATTTTTATATATATTATTTATATATTATATATGCGGTACTTATTGAAAAGCGCTCAATATCAGTGATAGATCTAACATATTTAGTTGGATTGATGGGATAAAACAAACTCACATCAATCCAACTAAATATAGATATATATATTACAATGAATCATTCATACAAAAAGTAGATTAGTAAAATTAATGATATATAAACTCTTCGCAAACGAAAATTTTAAAGTTGCATTAACCTACGAACCACTCGATGAATGTGATGATCCTTGTTTATAATAACTACAACCTGTATAATGTCTTAATCTGCTAGTACTTTCAACTGTACATGCAGTCATCTTCAGGCATGGAAATTATTTTGTTTTTAGTAAATCCAGGTAGCATCAGAGACGAAAGATTAAATGCGAATCGAAATATGTTTTTTTTAGAAATGTGTTATTGTTAACGGATAAAAACTTTTAGAGCGTACAGTCTCAACGCTAAGGTTGAATTTTTTAGAAAATTTAAGTCAGTGCGTGTTTTAGTAATATGGTAATTTGAGAATTTTTTTGTTGTAGGAGTTTATCAGTCAATGTGTCATGAACTAAGAATTCATTTCTAAGTTGAGGATTTACTGTTATTTATGTTAGTCGCATCCGGACTAATGTTTTATTTATAAGTCAACCATTCGTCCTTTCTTTGAATATGGCTGCCACATATGTTTCAGTGCTCCTGCTATATATTTAGAGATTCTTGATAAAATCGAAAGAATCTGTAATGTTATGGATCCTGGTCTGTCATCTCGGCTTCAATCATTTTCCCACCGCCTAGACTTTCAGTACAGTACTAGATTTCTGTCTCTTTGATTTAGAAATACTTCTGTCTCGAGCGAAGAATGCTCAGTGCTACTACTTGTTCAATCTTATAAACTTATAAGCCCACAAAAATATAAACACCAAACTGATACGTTTTATGAAACAGATAGTCCAATAAGATTACCAATAAATACTTTATTTGTTGGTATATAAGATCATCCGAACCCCTTTGCAGGAAATCTTACGAAATATTCTTATGGATAAACATTTAATGTTTATTGAAATAGCAGAAAAAAAATAATAACAATTTTTGTGTCTAAATTTCTGGGGTGAGGAGTTATCATTATTTACATTGAGACTAATGTCCTCATCTTTGTTACCTATCTATGAATTAATTGCCTTTGTTAATGCTGACTGTGTGATTTCTGTCTGAATTTCCAAGTTGAGGATTTACCATTATTTATATTTGCACCCGGAATAATGTTTTATTTATAAGTCGACCATTCATCCTTGCTTTGAATATTGCTGCCACATCTGTTCCAGTGCTTCTGCAATATATTTAAAAATTCTTGATAAAACCCAAAGAAGAATCTGCAATGTTATTTGTCCTGACCTGGCATTTCGGCTTCAGCCACTTTCCACCACCGTAACCTAGCTTCCCTGTGTCTTTTAAATAAATATTTTCATAGTGATTGTTCTCATAAACATTCCTCTATGGTATGTAGACCTTATGAATTTAATCGCAGTACTCGATCATTTTACAGTGAAAGTGCAACCGTAAATTCTATGCTAACTGTGTCTTTTCTCGCACTTCTTACTTCTGGAACTCTCTTTGCTTCTTCCGTCTTCTTGCTTCCCTGTCAACTTCAAAAATGTAAATGCAATGCCAATCGTTATCTTCTGTCTTCTTGATTCTTGTCCTTTTATCGTCTTCTTTCCTTAATAGTATATTTTCTCATATAAATCCTTCCGTCTTAAAGGCTTTATTACCTTTCTTAGGGTGAAATGATTTAAAAACAGATTGATAGGAACTGACTTGCGATAGATGGAAATGAACAGACTGTGATAGATAGAAAGAAATAAAGAAATAAAGAAAGAAAGAAAGAAAGAAAGAAAGAAAGAAATGAATAAACTGTGATAGATAGATTGGTAGATAGATAGATAATACTATGAAACTAAAATATATATTTTGGCGTAAATATTTTCCTGCGAAAATTCTTTTTCGGTTCATAGAATTAATATTTTTTTTTTTTTTTTTTTTCCGGGACATTGATAATAAAATAGAAATTATAGTCTTGCATAGAACGGTTACACATGGTAAGTGTTACTAGAAATATATTTCCACATAACAAAAGCAAAGTAGATCCCGACACTTCATGATTAGGAGTAAAAATGTTTTTACGTGAATCTCGTCCCCTTTGTCCACTAATAATGCATAACCAAATTGTCGGAAAGCTACGTGAAATCATTTTGTCATTTATGCTGAACAGACCAACTTTTCCCATTTCACTATCTCCGTCTGTCTGTCTGTCTGTCTGTCTGTCTCTCTCTCTCTCTCTCTGTGACAAACTTAATTTGAATTCGACCTAGGTTCTCCAATTTCTCGTCACGAGCCGATAGCCATTGTACGACATGTACAAAATGCATACCAAAATTGAAAGCTCGACATGTCCTTAAATGGGAAAGTGCCGAGGGCGGGACTTGGGTAATTTTTTAACGTCTTCCCACATTAAATCGTGAACTTGTGTCACATTCTGTAACGTATGTCGTAGGCATACGAGTAAAACCCCGCATGAAGTCGTTTGTCGATTTATAACGAAAACACTTCACAATGTGTATATATATATATATATATATAGTCATCACTAATATAATATAATCACTATATATATATATATATATATATATATTCTCGACTATTTATATATATGGGTCAGTGGTGCATTGTGGGTAGTCCATTCTGGCGGTTATTTTTTCGGGAGTGGCTTGTTTTATTTATTTATTTATTTGGGTTAATTTATTTTACTTGTTTTTATTTATTTTTATTTTTTATTTTATATATTTATTCGATGTTTTATTAGCGTGGTAAAAAATTTGTTGAGAGTTGCTTAGGTCGCTTATTTAATAATTTGTTTTGGTCTGGGGAGATAATTAAAGCTATTTATTCGTCCAATTTTGGGATTGGTGGCTGCGGTCTATTCTGTTATTTTGGCGGGGAGCAGTTTTTAATTTGTATACTTATTTATTTGGATTGATTATTTTTACTTGTTTTTGCTTATTTATTTTATTTTTATTTGGTCCAACGATTATTTTAGCGGGAGCGGTTTGTTAATTTGTTCATTTATTTATTCGGATTAATTTATTTTACTTATTTTTTCTTAATTATTTATTTACTTTTTTATTTTGTATATTTTTATTTACTCTTTTCGGTTTTCGATTTTTAAATAACGTAGTACAGTGTAACCCGGATATAAGAGACCCGGATATAAGAGTAACCCGTATATAAGAGAGATTTTCTCTGGTCCCAAATTAGAGCCTGTGTTAATGTATATAAATTAGACCCGGATATAAGAGACCCGGATATAAGAACTTCTTCTCCGGTCCCGACAACTCTCTTATATCCGTGTTACACTGTAATTTTTTATCGCTATATAGCAGTTATAGCTATTTTATCGTCCAGTGTTTGGATTGATTTATGTAGTCTATTCAAACGGTTATTTTGGCGGGATTGGTTTGTTAATTTGTTTATTATTTACTTTATTTATTTATTTGGATTGATTATTTTTACTTGTTTTTTTTATGTATTTATTTTTTTTATTTATTCTATTTCGTCTATTCTAACGGGAGTTGTTTGTTTATTTCTTTATTATTTGCTTGGGTTAATTTATTTTACTTGTTTTTTTATTATTATTTTGTTTATTTTTATTTATTCATTTCAGTTTTCGATTTTTAAGTAACGTAGTAAAAATTTGTTTTTATGTCTACATTTTGAGATGAACTCAGATCGTTTATTTAGTAATTTATTTTGGTCTTGGAAAGTATTAATAGTTATTTTTTCTTCCAAGCAATGTTTGCAGGTTTTGGATTGATTGTTGTAGGCTGGTGATCTTTTCCTTATTTTCCATGATATTTTTGGTGTGATTTTCCCTTTGTTTTTAATTTCCCAGATATACTTAGAAAGCATTGTGCTGTTCGCATATTCATTATTTGTGAAAAATGTTTTGTGTGCATAATTTTTTTGTTTCCATGGTCCTTCAGTTACTACTATGTATACTTTTTCTTCATTATCTGGTGTTTTTACCGTGGCTTGGTATATTACGTTGTTTTGTAAGCAATCGGCGTTTAAGGGACACTTATTCTTTATTCTACAGTTACACGTGGGTTTAATTTGTTCGGATGGTTTGTTGATAGTTTTCCTGTTGTGCATTTTTATTATTTGTGCCATGTTCTCAGTGCGACTGTAGCTGATTTTTACAGTGTTACAGAATATTTTGTGTAGAGTCCTTGATTCCGGGAAGTATTTGTGTAAGAATTTGAAGAATATTTTGCCTACGATTGTTTTTACGTTTTTACTGTGCGGTGGATTGAACCATATAATATTTCTCTTCCTCTTGCCCTTTTATGTGCTCTGTAGTGAGTATGTGAGTGTTGCTGGGAATTCACTCTCTTTTAGAGCTGTTTCATAGTCTTAGCTTCGTTAAATATGTGTTTATTGAAAGTCTTGTTGGAAAGCCTGCGGTTAATCGATTTTGGTATCTGATTATTGAAGGCGGGTGATTGGAAGATGTGTGTATATACAGTGGTTTATCATTGGGTTTTTGTCTGGTTTATATGTGCTTTTTCTTGGGTTAAAGGTAACATTGAGAAAATCTACTTCGTTTATGTTAGTTTTTATATCTATGTCGAATCCGTTATATTTGAAAATCTTTATTATTGCTTTTCTAGTTTTGTCTGTGTTTTGTTTGTTACAATTTCTTAAGATTATGAGGCCATCGTCCCTGTAGAGTCCTGTATCATGTTTATCTATTGTTTCGCTTAGTTCGTATAGTAAATACATACCTATGATTTCGCAGGTCTCTGCACTGTCAAAGCTTCCTATTATAGTGACAAATATCCATGTTTCGTTTATCCATGCGTCTTCATTGTGGAATACTAGTGATTTACGGGAGTGTTTAATGATATCAATTTCGTTTGTGTTTATTTTTATTTGTTCCTGAGCTAATGTGATGGCCTTATCTAGCATGGGTTCTGTTATGGTTAGGGTAAATTCTTTTATGTCTAATTGTATAAAATGGCAATTATATTTGTTATTTATGTTGTGGAACCAGCCAGTAATTGCTTTTGTGTTTTTCCATTGGTTTACTCCTAGCTTTTTCCTTAGTTTAGAATTAATTCTTTCTAGTATCGTTTTACTTATTTTACCTAGTTCACTTTTAGCTGTGTTTATGAGTCTGTATGCAGGGTTGGTTTTGAAATTTTCTTTGTGGTCTTTTAGCCTTACTAATGCAATTTATTCGGTCATCTCGGTCTAATTTGGGGGCGATTGCTTTAGCTTCCTTATTGATATCGTGTTCTATTGTTTTTGGTGCTTTTTGTGCTTTGGTTATGTTGTCATTGATTAATTTATGGTGTGTAAGGGAGGGGATTAATTCATATAAATTTCTTGTATTGTCCGCTGCGATAAATACATTTGTTGAATTGTTTATTTTTGTTATATCTTCTTTTAGTTTTTGTTTTTTTTTAATGCGTCTCGTTTTTTCTGGAATTTTATGTTTCCAACTAGATCAGTTAAGTATTTCTCGAAGTCGTCTAATTCTTTTTGTTGCAGGGGGCATTTTTTTAGTTTTACAGCCGTATTTTTCCTTAAGTGTAGTGTTATTGTGAAGGTCCTGGTTTAAAAAGAAATGGGCTTTCCATCTTATTCTTTTTTATGATAGAAGGTTAAAGAAGATCATCTTGAATAATTTTGAAAATGACCTTGGAATATATATATATATATATATATATGAACTTTATTTCAGTACTTCAGGGGCTTTCGATTCTTAGCTATGATTAATTAATGGCGACCATGTCATTTTCGTTTATGATCGATTTCATCGCGCTTCTTCTGTTAAGCTTGGAGAGTAATTATACATTCTTATTGTGCAAAGTAGAGTACAATAGTGTTTAAAAAAGCTCAGAGAATTTCAGTAAGATATCTTTAATTATTTCTAAGGTACAACGGTTCAATTCTTAATCTAACAATTTTGCTGTGACATCCGATGTATATATATATATATATATATATATATATATATATATATATATATATATATATATGCACTAAAGAAAAACCAACGATGTCGGTATATATATTTTAACGTAATTTTACGTATATTTACTTATATAATAAGCACTTTTGCATTCGTTTTTGCAGAATCAGTCAGTTAAGTGCCATACGTGATACACGCCTGGGCGATCATGTATCTTTCGATACATGAGTAACGAGTTAGAAAATTTTTACCACAGTAGGTGCCATTTCTTTCTGCGGTAGTCTGGTTGAGAGCCAAGGCTAAAGAACCCTGTTTGTCCTACTATTTAACCCATAGCTGGGGGGAGAAGAGATAGATCCATAACTTTCCTAAGGGTATTTTTGCGTAAGTGAATCTAACAAACACGACTGGAATTCGAATTTGAATAGAAACAATTTTGACCAACCCACCACCAATTTGTGGAAGAGGCATGGACTTCACCTAAAAATCTGTGCTGGAATGACAAAAAAAAAGGAGACTACAGACAGCAGTATAATAGTGAAAAGCTATTCCAGCACAGGAGCAGGAAGATTCAAGCTTCGACTACAAAGCGACAGCAGAGAAGAAAACACATGATCGACGATCTGACGCCGTCAGAATGACGGAGTTGGTTGCTCAAGTCCAGGAGATCATCAGCAACAATCCCTGCCAATTGAAGCGTTTCATTACAAGAGAGAAAGGTGCTCATCAGGCTTCTGGTGCATAAGGACCTTCGCTACTTTTCATGCAAGATGAAGAAGGACGAAACAATTTCTGTCCAAGGCGATGCGAGAAAAGCGACTAAAACACATCAAGAAGCTAATCAAGTTGAAACACCCGCTAGAGCCAAACAAGTTGTGGTTCTTCTCCGACGAAAAGAACTTCTTAAAAGAACAGAAGATCAACTCCCAGAACAACAGAGTCACCTCATGTCTTCCTTGAGGGTCTCAGTCTGAACACCGATGGCTACATCCGTCTTCTGAGTGAAGCCCTCGTTCGGCTAGGTAACTTCAGGGTGACTCTACGTGTGGCAAGACTAGGTGACCTGCCTTATCAGCTAGAAACTCCAGGCCTGACTGTCGGAGAACTTTGACCACACTGGCCCTGACATTTGGCCTCCCAATTTGCATGACTGCAAACCAACTCACTTCTTTGTCTGGGGGGGGGGCAGTGGAACGAGGGACCAACATATCCAACTGCACGAAGGACGAGCTGAGTGCCAGGATTAACAGGACTTTCAGGGGCCTATGTCGGGAGACAGTGACGAAGAACTTTGGTCGGTTCAGGGGTCACCTCGAGGCTGTCATCGAAGCCAAAGGCGGATTCATCCAGTAAGATCGACAGAATTTGTCATGAAGATACACAAACCCTTGTTAGGCAAATATATTTAAAAAAAATAAAAACACCGCGTTATTTTCCTAGAAAATAATCTTGCGAACGAATCTCCATTCTCTCTCTCTCTCTCTCTCTCTCTCTCTCTCTCTCTCTCTCTCTCTCTCTCAAATATATATATATATATATATATATATATATATATATATATATATATATATATCGGACTTCGAGCCACAGTGAGGATACAGCGAAACTGTCTGTGGATGACTATATATGCTCCCAGAAATCCGGTTGAAAGGGGATTTTAAAAACAGCGGCTCCTACTGCTATTAAACATTTTTCTTCAAATATGAATTGAGTTCTCCGAGCCACTGGCGTATTTCGTATGGAGAAAAACGTTAAAATTCCCTTCCTTTTTGCTGTGCGACGATGGCCTAGGGGTAAGATATCTGACTGATGTCAAATCACTCAGGTTTCTGATCCTGGCTTGAAGTAATCGGACGTCTAGCCACACTGAGGAGCTGTGATACTGCGAAACAGTCCGCCTGTGGATGACTATATATATATATATATATATATATATATATATATATATGAATGAAGAAATATAGTCTTAAGATGTGCTATATTTATGGGATAAAGTGCTCAATATCAGAGATAGAGCGTGTGTAAATATAAAAGTGAACATAGAAGTCAACACACACACACACACATATATATATAGATGTGTGTGTGTGTGTGTGTGTGTGTGTGTGTGTGTGTGTGTGTGTGTGTGTGTGTTGACTTCTATTATTCTCTGTTGCTCTTGTCTACAGTCTGTCCTGTGAGCATCATATTTCCAAAACCCGTTTTCCTCATTATGTGCCCATGAAATTTCAACTGTCTCTTTTCTGATTTTTAGTATGTGTCTTTGTTTCCATTTTATCTAAAACTTCGTCATTGCTCACATGTTCGGTCTATGGCATTCTGTGTATTCTTTTTTAGAACCACATTTCTATTGCTTCAAAGTCTCTTCTTCATCTGTGAGCATTCACTGCTCTATAGGAGGACTGATATTACGTAACAGATCAGTTTGTCCTGTTTCTAATTATTTGCTTAGATTTTGGAAGGCATGTTTCCCTATCCCAGTGTACCTTCCGATTTCAGTGATGTTTAATGACAAGCTTTATCTTTACAAGATCCAGGTACCTTGGTATCCTTATTCAAAGAAAAGCATTACTAAAATCAATTGTACAAGACTAAGAAGAGTGCCTGAGATAGTGAGAAAATTTGTTGTCACTTGATCTGCCAGGAAATGAACAATCAAGAATGAGGCAAAGTTAAAAATGTAGAATAAGCGTTGCACAATGTAAGCACATTTTTTTAAAATACTATTTCATTTATGACTGAATTCATTTATGAAAAAGGAATTTTGTGAATTTCTACTGGCATTTAATTTTTTGAAATCTTAAAATATAACTTGAACAATTAATATTTACATTTTTAAATATAGTTGCACAGAGAAATCAAATTGGTTGAAAACTGAATTTTAATCTGTTTAAAATTATGCCCTGAACCAGAAAACAAAATTAGAATAATGTTTTTTTTTCAAATATTTTTAATTAAATTTTTAAGAGAACCTGAAAAATATATTTTAATTAAGTTTTAATAAAATATGCTTTAATTACATTTTAAATAATCATTTAAAATATATTTTAATTACATTTTAATAAAATACTAAAAATATATTTTAATTATTTTTTAATAAAATGTTTACAAAATGTATTCTAATTACATTTTTAATAAAATATTTAAAATATATTTTAATTACTTTTCTTGTAAAATATTTAAAATGTATTTTAATTATTTTTCAATAAAATATTTCAAATATTAAAATCATTTTAAATATTTAATCAAAACAGTAATAAAAATAATTGGATATTAAAAAAATTAAAATATATTTTTAATCTTTTATTAAAAAAAAAGTAATTTTTAAATATTTTATTGTAAAAATAAGTAAAATATATTTTTAAATATTTTATTAAAAATAATTATAATATGTTTTTGGTATTTTATTAAAAATATAATTAAAATATATTTTAGATATTTTATTAAAAATAATTAATATATATTATAAATATTTTACCACTGCATGGTATGGTAGGAGAGTTCAGTGGATGAAAAGCTCTGGCTTTTCTCTGGGATCTCTTCATCTCTTCTATTTGTCTTCCAGTGTTTTTGAAGAATATTGTTTTTTTTGTTTTTTGGTGGAGTGTTCTTCTCCAATTGATTCTTTCTGCAGTTTCCATCTCCCATCATGCATTTTCATCATAAAATAGTTACCAACAATATGTTATTGGAAAGAAAAATACTGCAATACATTATTGGAAAAAGAAAAAAATGATGACCACTAATGCAATTTCAGAAAAAGAAAAATATTAATACCAATGCTGTTTTTGGTAAAAAAGAAAAAAAATTTCCAAAGTTCCAAAGAAAAGAAAATTTCTGCATTAAATGACCCATAAGGAGCTGATATGCCATTAAAAAAACCAAGCCGAAATATCTATTGCTCTAGCAAAGCACATTTCTTAAACAAAATTAAAAAAAAAAAATCTTTAGTGTAATCGATTCTGACCTGGCATCTTGACTTCAGTCATTTTCTCATCAGAGTGATATGGCTTTCCTTTGTCTTTTCTACAAATATTTTCATGGCATCAGTTCTGATGAACTTTTTTCCTTAGTGTCTCTACTACATGAATTCGAGTGTGCTGCTAGATTGGCAACTAGGTTTCACAATTTTACAGTTGAACTAGCTAGATGCAACTAAACCTTCTATTGTAAAAATTTCTTGTACTTCTCATCTGTGGAACTGCTTTCCGATTTCTTGCTTCTCTGCCACTTATAAACTTAAAAAAATCATCTTCTGTTTTCCTGATGTTCTCTTATTGCCCTTTTCCTCACTAAAGTTTTGTCATTCTCTTTCCCTCTCTGTAACCCCCTGAATCCTGGGCAAGATAGTCTGACAGAGCCTAACCCTCTCCAAATTGTCTTTTTCTTCTCCTAGATGGATTGCCACCTAAGGCTATAGAACCCAGTCTGTCCTGCTGTGAAAGAAGAGATGAATTCTTACCTTTCCCAAGATTATTAGTGCATAAGTGAATGTAATGAATTCGGCTGAACTTGACTCTGCGATTCCTCAATCAGAACCTCTATCCATTACTTCAGGAACAACAAAGATGATAATTATTGTCCTCAGCAACAGCAACAACAAAGATAAGGAGAATAGTCTGAATGTAAATAGTGTAAATAATGATAAGTTTTCATCTCAGAAATTCAAACAGAAATGTTATATTTGTATGTAAATTGAGTTCTTTGTCTGTTGTGATTGATGTTGTTGTTATTGTTGGTGGTTGTGGTAATGGGGGGGTGTATGTTTTTTGACAAATTCATTGATCACTTTGTTGTGGAAAGTGTCAGCATCATGCTCGTCTATCATCATCTTCAAAATTAGAGAACAGGAAGAAGCAGCTAACTACATTGCTTCTTTTTTTTTTTTTTTCTTACATCATTTCTTACTCACTCAACCTTAACTACCCAGCCATCTTTCAGTTCTTTGCCATTTCTGTGCCTGTGCATTAGAACTAGGACGGGAGTGCTAATGCAGGCATTCCCCAGGGCTCACTTCTTGGGCCAACCCACTTTTTGATTTATACATTAATGCTCTATCTAAAAATCTACTCAGATCATTTGTAAACATCTACACCAATGAAACAACAATATAAAGGCTCGCCTCTAAAACCTCACAACAATCAGAGTTCGGCAGCTGATCTCTCATCCAATCTATAATCCTACCCCAAACTACCATCAGTTACAATGAACAGACGTCTCTTTGGTAAGAAACTTCGGTTTTAAACTCACCCCTGACCTCAAATGGAACTCTTACATATAATACATCGCCAAAGGTACAAGAAAAATGGTTGGTCATCTATACTGCTCCAGTAAGTACCTGACCCCTCATGCTACCCTCTACCTTTACAAGAGCCAGATCAGGCTGAACATGAAGTACTGTTCGCATATTTGGGTGGGAGTTGCCCAGTCCTCGCTTTCCAGTTTCAATAGAATTGAAAAGTGTCTTTGAGTCCTTATGGGTGACAAATTATTTTTGACCCTCCAACCTATCTCTCTCTCTCTCAGGCAGGACATGGCGAGGCTTTTACTGCTCTATCCTTACTACCATGGAAAGTGATCAGACAACAGATTTAAGGCCAGCCTTCCTCTATCCCCACTTGTATTTTTCAAAATAAATATTACTCTATCTGAAAATTTTGCACACACATCTACGCACACCCCACACACACAGACCTATATACAGGGTATGATGAATAAATTGTAATC